CAGGAGAAGCGGGTTGCTGCAGGTTACCCCACAGGCCTCTGGAGTCACCCCAGGAATGACAGAGTCACTGATCTGGCCTGAGCAGCAGAGCAGGGAGGACGGAAAGCGACCACCCTGAGACTGAGTGGAATTCTTCGGAGAAGCTCACCGTTTCCGGCATGAGCTGAATCAGATTCCATTAACCATATTGCTGAAATGTTTGTTTCCGGGTGTCATTTTAGGCTGCAAGTAGCTCAAACAGATCCGCGCCTATATATAGACCCTGCATTTGGCTGTGCTCAGGGAGGTTTGTCATTACTATGCTCTCTGGCTGGCTCCCAGCTAAGCTGCTTCCCTCAAGGGATCAGATTTTGGAATCGCGAAGTCACAGAGGATCTGTGACCATACTCAGAGGTCTTCCTCCTCCCTTCTTCTCCCTCCCTCGCTGGCCAGTGCTCTGGCAGCAGGTGAACATCAGGGTGGACCGGGTGGGCGGTTTTCTTTGCTCAAAAACTCTGAATAGCCACAATGACAGTGCTAATGGAGACTGACCAGCTCCACTGTGGCAGTAAACACAAGCAAAAAAACAAACACCCCCCCCCATCCCCGACGTCCAGGGCTTAAAGGAAACAATATAATTTGAGTTGAAATGAAGTGCAGATGCTCGCTAACAGCCAAGCCTTTAGATTCCTAGGAGGACCCAGGGCTCTCTGAGGGTAGAGACAAAGACAGAGGCTGTTCAGGGTGGATTTTAGGAGTGAGTGAGTGTATGTGTGTGTGTGTCCGACTCCTAAACTCCCCAGGGGAAGGTAGGTGAGGAGCAAGAACCAAGCAGAGGAAAGAGGGGATGTGGAGGTGGGTGTTGGAGGGGGAGGAAGAAGGAAGGAGCAGGGCTTCTTTTAAGGAGACAATGTTGAAACCTTGCAAATTTGATTTTCTCCAATGTGCCCAGCCCCTGCTCCCTGGGAGCAGTCCCTTTGCTGTGTGCCCTTTGTTTGCTGTGTCTGGAACCTACTCTACCTTTCTCACGGGGTCTCCTGTGCCACCTGCCTCTGGTGTCTCTGTGTGTGTGCCCACCGTGGTCTGACTGCCTTCCTGAGCTTGCCCTCTCTTGCTCTGCCCTCCTCCCTTTCCTGACTTCTCTTTTTCAGCCCTCTCTCCTACCAGACTCTTCTCTTTCTCTAGTTCTCCTTTCCTCCCCTCCCATTACGTCCCTTGCCCGGTCCCTTCCCGCACCCTCCCCTTCTCCTCTGCTTCCCTTCACCCTCGCTCCCTTTCCCCACTCACTCCCCTCTGCACGCTCCCATCTCCCCATCCTTCTCCCTCCTCTCCCCTCTTTCCTCTTTTCCCTCTCTCTCCCTCTCCGTCCTGGTCCTTGTTTATACATAAGCTCCAATTTCTTGCCTTATAGGTTTACCTGCAGAACAAGATACCGCTCCTCTTGGAAAAAGTGTTCAAGAAATCCATGTCCCCTCCTTCCATTTCTTGGGCATTTCTGAAATGATATTCCTCCCCCAACTACCCCCGTCAAAATAAAATGAATGCAGCCAGCTCCTGCTGTGTGTCCTTAAATTCATTCCGTCTAGCTTCTGGTCTGAAAGCCTGTACCCTAGAAGGGGCCTCATGCGCTTGCTGGCAACCACAGATAGTGCTTTGGAGTGAAAAAGGGGGGAAAAACCCTCTCGATGGAGATTTCAAAACAGATTCTACCAGCTTTGAAATCTGTGCACTTGCGGAGTGGAAGGCTTTGGGGAAGCGGGGTAGAGGACTTGGGGTGTGGGTGTTTGTCGTAAACAAATAAGCAAGAGAATCTCTGTATGTATAAACTTCCCTTGGCATGCTTGCTGCCTTTTCCCTGGCATTGAGGGTGGGGGGGAGTCTGACTTCTCTCACACTTTTGCTTGCTGTGTGTGTGTGTGTGTGTGTGTGTGTGTGTGTGTGTGTGTCTGTGATGGAATTGAGGAGGGGGTTGCTGTGTTTTTGATCTGATTCACTTGACAGACTATTTGAATGCAGCCCACCTTTCCGTACATGTCAAACAGCTGGGATCATTGTTAAAAGCCTTGAGAGAGCCGAGGCTGAGCGGTGGGTAAGGCAGGGAGGGGACGAGAGGGGGAGACCGAGAAGAGGGAGGGGGTACCCTCTAGTAGCTTTGTATTTTTCACACACTGGAGCTGACAGGAGCCCTTCTTCTCTGTAGAAAGAGGGGGGGAGAGTGTTTGAAGGGTATGGGGCTGGTGAGGGGGGTGAGAAGGGAGAGAGGTGGGGTGTTGAGGGCAGGGTTATGATGTCACAGCCAAAGTTACAACAGGAGGAAAACACAGAAATGGTTCAACATTTTTTTTTTTTAACTTTGGACTGCCAAGAGCTGAAGGAGAGTGGTGAGCAAAGGAATGAAGGGGGGAGAGAGAGAAAAGCTAAAGTGGAAGCTTGAGTTTTGTGTAGCTTCTTGAAACCTTATGAATGGATTCCTAGCGGCTGGAAGCCAGGGGAGCCCTATAGGGATGCAAGAGCCGTGGCACACTAGGAGGGGGAGACAAACAGGCGGAAAGCTTCCTTCTTGCTGTTCTCCCCCCTTGCTGAAATGAATGGTAGGAAACCTTTTTTTCTGAGGGTCTTGGGGGGGGGGATGGGGAAGGGGAAAGTTGACTTTGCTTTTTCTTCCCTGAGGGTGCTCCCTGCCCTTAAGCTAAGACTACTCTCCTTGCTTCGCTTTCTCTCGCTCCCCCTCTCTGTCCTCATGTCCCCCTCTTCTCTCTCCTTCCTCAGTTCTATGCTTAAGCCACCTCAGGAGATAAAAGAGAACTGAGTCAGAAAAGTGAAGGGAGCTGGGAAGGACGGCGTCCGAGGGCCAGCGTGGGGCTGAGGGCTGTCTGCTGGGACTCCACGTGCCTGCATGGTATCTGTTTTGGGGGACTGACTTTGAAGCTCAGGGAGTGCTACTCTCAGAAGCAGGGCACGCTAGCGATAGGGTGTTTAGGGTACAGCATTTCTGAAACCAAGACGTCAGTTGTGCACAAGAATGTAAGAGTTGCTGAGTACACCCAAGGCAGAGGCAGCAGTGTGAGTCCATTCCAAAGTCTGTGTGTTGCCTGGATGTAGAGAACACTGGAGTGACTTTGAAAGTGATTTTTCTGATTACCTGAGTGAAGGGCCTGTTTGTTTTTCTAGCTGTTTTGTAGCACCTGTGTTCAGACAGCCTTACTTGTGGTAAGAATTTGGAACCCTGCTCTGTGTGTTGTGCACAAGTGTGCTTGTGTGTGTGTGTGTGTCTGCGCGTGTGGTTAGGGGTGAGACTGTGTCTTGTCATCTCAGCAAACCTCACCAAGACCACCATCATTGCATCTGTTTTCTTGTCCTTTCCATTCATTTCAAATCAATTGAATAACAGTCACTTGGATCTGGCTGTTTGCTTTTGTTAATTACTTATTTTGAGCATCTCATTTGTTTATTTGCTCACTCAGCATATGGTGACTTTTGGTAACTTCAGAATGGGAAACTTATGAGAGAAAAAGATCTATGTAGTTTGAGTTCATGGCATTTCCATCGAGTGCTTTCACAGCAACCTAATTGATTTTTCCTCTTTCCTTGGGTCCAATGGTAAGTGAATTTAGGGTATTGTTTTCTTTAAATCCCACATGATAGCAATAAAAAAAAATACAGGGTGTTTGTAGCACAAGAAAAGAGAGGCGAGTGGTCTCTGCAGGGCTAATGTGGGTTAGGCAGTGAGCATGTCTATGTACAATGTGTGTGTGTGTGTGTGTGTGTGTGTGTGAGAGAGAGATCACACAGAGTGCTCCAAGCAGCATTGATCGTTAGCTATTGATTGTGTAGGCTGCTGCTGAAAGAGAAAGCCAGAGATGTTTACTGGGGAAACTCAGAGTAGCGCCTGTGCCCCGTGCCTGGGGAGGTGGGGAGGTGTTCAGGAGGAAGGAGGGGACAGGCAGTAGGTGGAGTGATGTACCGAACTTATTAGCTTTGACATCATCATTGTCTTTAAATGAAAAACAAGAAGATAATGAGAGGCAGAGAGGAAGGCAGAGGAGAGATCAGGTCCCCTGAGCACATGCTCTCTCCCTTGCTCTCTCCCATCTTCCCAGGGACCCCCAGGACCCCAGGAAGGTGAAGTCACAGGCTCTCGGGCTCATCGGGTTACTAGAAGAGCAGGCTGGCACGCTGAAAGAGAACTTCCTGGAGATTTGCACCACACCAACAAGTTGGAAAGGCATAAAAATCCTTCAGCAACCAACAAGCCCACGCGCCCCACTAAGGGAAACGAGCGCTCTGACCTGCAAGAGCAGACTGGCAGTTGGATGGAGCCTCGCTGAGCACATCTGAAGAGTGAAGGCTAAGTACCAGCTCGGGTTTCTGTGTCCCCAGATTCTAGTTCGCATTGTTAGATAATTATCATCAAACTGTGTGTCTCTGTATAAAAGTTCTTCTGGCCATTTCCTCAAAGGTGCACATACTGTGGGATTAGAGGTAAAGGGGAAGGTGTTTCCTCGGGAAGGAAGAAGAACCTGCAAAGACAAGGAGGAAATGAGATGATGTTGAACGGCTGCAGGTAGAGAGGGGTGTGCGCCCACGAGTGTGGATTTGACAGGATTTGGCTTAGGTCCCTGGATCTCTGTTCTGGTGTCAGTGAGGGGAGGGATTACTGAAGAAGGGGGAAAAAAAAAAAGAAAAGAAACTGGAGCTCTCTGGGAGGAAACTCAAAGGAACCCAGAGAAATTAGCTTCATTTTGCAAGGACTAAAATAGAAGCAAGAAGAGCCGGGTCAAGGGGGAGGCGAGAGGGCAGCACACGGCAGAGGGTGAGGTGCAGGATCCACGTTGGCAGCGTTGGGCACAGGGAACCAGGAGAGGCACTCTTTGGGGGCAACTTAAGAAAGTTTGGTCTGTAAAAAAAACCATTTCCCCGGAGATTGAAAATCCACTGCTAGCTGCCTCCTCTGCTTCCCATCACTCTGGTGTGGTACCCGGGAGTTGAATTCTGGTTTTGTACCTAGGGTTGGGGCAGGGATGGTGTGCTTACAGATCCTGAGCTTCAGCCTGGTGATTCTGGCAGGGTGCATACTCAGTGCTGTCAGCGCTGAACTGGGCTGGACACGGAAGAGATCCTTGGCTCAGTGGGGACACCTGAACCAGGTGCCGCTGGAAGGAGATCGCTGTTGGCTGGGGGCCAAGGTCCGAAGGCCCAGGGCAGCTCCCCACACTCGCCTCTTTGGGCTCTACCCCAGCAGGCCTGGGAGCCACCTGAGGCCCTTCCCTATGAGGGAGCAGGGGACCCAGCATGCTGGGCACAAGAAACTAGACTCTGAGGGGAAGGCTTTAAGCTTGGTTCTCCAACACCTGACTGAAAACGCAGCTGGAGCGAGGAGTGCGGTTGAGCAGGGGGACAGTCCTATTGGGCAATCTGAGCCACTGCGAGATGATGACACTTATCTTGGCAATCGAGGATCCAAGAAGTTTTTAGGTGAGGTTGTGGCTCGGGAAAGCTTAGCCCCGGCTGCCACCATTACTGCTGCCTTCCCACGCCCCACGGAGCCCAAACCAGAGACACAAAGCAAGGGTTGGGTCACGTCTAGGCGTCATCGTCCAGTGACAAAGAGGCAGGCAGAAGACGCGCAGGGAGACCCCGACCCAGCTCCTATGCATCTCCAACCCCGGCCTGAAGCTCCCCAGAAGCCCAGGATCAGCATCCAAAATGGTGGCAAGGACCCTGCCTGGGACGCGGAGCCCACTGGCCCCCCAGGACGACTGGCTGTCGTGTACTTTTCTGGGAGGAGGGAGCGGCTCCTGCTGCGTCCAGAAGCGCTGGCTGAGATTCCCCGGGAGGCGTTCACAGTGGAAGCTTGGGTGAAGCCCGAGGGAGGACAGAACAACCCAGCCATCATCACAGGTAAGAGCCCTCCTAGGGCTTCCGGAGGGCCTGGGTGGGAGGCTGGCTCCATTCCTAATGGGCTTAGTTGCACACAGGAGGGGACAGGGACTGAGTAGGACAGCCAGGAAGGGCTGGCCGGGAAGGGTTGGGGGAAGGACTTCATTCACTAGTGCAATAGCACTGCAGACATCAACGGAGAGAAGGTGACGAGGCTCAGCAAGATGTGTATTCCTCCAATTGATTTCATGTAGAACCATCCACCCAGCTTGCACTTAGGGGACCCTCTTCGGAGCCCTCCACTTTGGCTTTAAAAGGGAAGGTCTCTTGGGTCCTCCTCAAAGGGGAAGGGTTGGGAGTGGGTAGTGCCCTGTGTCCCTTACTTGCTGTCCAGTCTGTTAGCCAGGCCACTCTACTAGCAGTTGAGAGCTGAATACCTGAGCTTGTCACTCCTGGGCTGGTGCAGGCAGCGGTGAGCAGGGCTTAAAGGTACATTGCTTCCTAGTCTTGGCTGATGGAGCAGCCTTAGTCAAGCCAGGCCCTGGGGTCCCCTGCACTTTGTCCCAACAGGCATGCGTCTTGTGCAGGAGTTCCAGGAACTCCTGCAAACGGTGGGCGCTGACTAGTCAGGATCCTGGCTTTTATCCCTGGCTGTCGTAAGAGGGACCAAGAAATGAAAGCTTGCATGACTCAATGGTTTTAATCAGAGGCACCTGTCTGGGGACATAACCCATGTTTATTTTCTACTGCACCCAGATCTTCGCTTTCACGGAAAGTCACCCATAAGGACAAGGAAAAAAAAAAGTAGGATTAGAAGCAGTGCTCTCCCTTCGCCTTACTGGAAAGCTACTTCGGAAAGAGTTGGGGTTTAAACTTTATTTTTCCATCATTTAGTATCTCCTGAATGCAGTCGCCCCATGAACATGCAACACAAGCACGGCACACCGTTAAAGCCTTTGGTCTCATTTGTTTGCAGCAGCCATACCTGCTCTGCGACGTTTGCTGCTCCTGTCACCTTGACAGGGAAGCGGAGGCAGGGAGAGATGTGCCAGAGGTGGACTGGAGACAGAAATCCAGACCTCTTGAATGACTTCCCAGTTTGAAAACTTGTCAGGCTGCTGGGTTCCTGCAAGAAGGCTTCAGTCTAGGGCTGAAAATCTGGGAGGAAGGGGCCTCTCGCTGGGGTGTTGCTGGAATATCCCTTCCGGACTTGCTGGAGTTTGTCCTATAGGAGCTGGGATTCCCAGACACTGAGCACTCTCGAGTCTTGTGGTTTTGTTTTATTTTATCTTGGGGTGTGATTGGGGGTGAAGGAGGAAAGAGAGAGAAGAGGCTAGGCTCTGAGTGAGGTGGAGGCAGACAGAGTAGAAGGGAATCCTGATTCCGGGGCCAAACAGAAGAAATAATGAGATGATTATCTGAGCAGAGTTGGCAACCTTGCGGTTTTCCCAGATGACATCTTGCTGCCTGGTCTCACTTCCTAGGACCCATCTGCCGGGGAAGCTTGCAGTCTAGACCAGGGCCCACAGCTCAGAATTAGAGGAACCAGCAGGTGTTCTGGCGGAAGGCTCTCGTGGAATACTGCCTCGAGTTAGCAAAGCGCCAACCTGAGGAAACAGACTCCAGCGAGTGGACACCTGCGCTCTGCTCCTTCCTTCCCACATCCTCTGGCTCCCCTCTGCACTCTGGAGGGTAACAACACATCGGGTCCTGTGCTAGCCTTCCACACCTCCCACCCTAGCCTGTCTTCCTCCATTTACCACCTGTCCACCACGACCAGCCTGCCACCCAGCCTACCGCCACAGTGCACACAGAGCTACTTCTGTAAGACTCTCATAAGCCTTTGTAGGCTTGTAAAATTGAACAGGAAGTCTTTTGCAGGCAGCTCTCGCTCATAAAGTGTCTTTCTCTTCAAATCGGATTCCCATGTAGGTCTCCGCTATGAAGGAACACCCAGAGGGCTCTCATGAAAACACCCACTGAAGATTTAGGCTAAAACTCCAAGAAAGGTGGGGGGTAGGCAGCAGTCTTGTATTTCAGACAAGCATCTTTGTCGATGCATTGTACTTTGCTGCTTATATTCCATGGGAAGACCCCCTGGCTGAAAACCGTGAGTCTGCCAACTCCCTCCAAGCCACAGATAGAGCATTCAGTTGGCCCTAATTGCTGGGACTGATCTGCGTATTAGCTCATCTTCCCATTCTTACCCTTGAGCTGGTCACTGCTTGTTCCTGCTAGGGCTATCCTGCATCCATGCGGACTAACAACATTCGAATTAGGTCCTGGGTGCCACATTCAACCCGGCCCTTGTAATTGTGTTGCAGCTATTACAATTCCACAGGCTAACCCAAGTGTTACAAGACTTGGCTCCAACCCCTTTCTCCAGCAACTTTCAAGCCTCAGCTTCTACCTGCTTCACCTAAACTGAATTTTCAAGTTCCCAATCTACCAAACTTGGGACCTTCTGTGAAGTTTGGCCAGACAAGCTGTTGTAATGGAACCCCAAACTACCCATATGTGGAGCCTTAGGGAATATTTCCCACACAGGGCACTAGGTGGCAGTGTTGCCTCATGCACAAAAACGTGGGTTCTTCCGTAGTGGGTAAGTCTGTGCCTGGGCTGGTTTGATCAACCTCTCCCAGAGTGCTGGTAGGCAGCTTTTGAGGTCAGCTTTCTTTGTGGAGTATTGATGAAGGAACTAAAATGACATTCGGAGGGTTTTGACTAACTTGTCCTTCTAGCCACTAGGAAAAAAACATAAAATCAACTGGAATGACTTTTTCCCACCCGCCCGCCCCCACACCTTGCAGTCGTCTAAAATAGGAATCTGGACTCTAGGAAGCTTTCATTATAGGGTGGGGGAAATGCATGGCTCCTGGACATAGGTGCTCGGGGTTTCTCTGGCTCTGGGATAGGAAATGATGGTACCAGGTCCCCCAAGGTAAATACTTGTTTTTCATCTCAGAAGCAGAGCAACTGAGGATTCCATGCAACTCTTGGCCAAGGACCTGGATGCCCAGGGCAGTGTGGCCACCTCAGAGTAGTTTGAGGTCAGGAGCCCATTTGGTTGGGACATTGGAGATGAGTATTAGACATAAGCCAACTTCTGTCTCGCTCTGGTGAGACAGAAACCTTTAAGCTCTAGCACCCAACCCTGAAACCTTCCTGTTCCATTTCCTCTGTATCAACTTCCTTTCCCCTCCTGAAACCCCAGTGTACACAGAAGAGCACATTTTAATAGGTTCTTCCTCACCCATAATTGATTTCAAATGTTCCCTGAAGTTGTCCACCTGCAGCTCCCAGTTGCAGGAGACTAGCTCCATGGCAGAGTCGGAGCCCAAACCCATGTTCCCTCATCCAACAAATATTTGTTGAGTGGCTTGCCCTGCAGAGCCCAGCACAGCTCTGTGGGGAATACAAAGATGTCTAAGAAACCATCCCTGACCTGAGGAGCCTTGCCTGGGAGTGGATCGGGTGCAGGACTCAGGAGGCAGGCGGGCATGGAGTCAAACCCCCCACACCGATACTCATCAGGGCTGTGAGCTTAAACGGCCCCCTGAGACTTCTTCACATTGAAAAAATGCGAGAAAGAAGAGTATATTTAAATGTCAGCTCCTATTTAAGTAAAGTTTCTACAACTTCAGAAGAAAAATAAACTGATGTTTTGCTGTGTTGTTACGCTATTTGAATCAGTCATGTGTGAGGAGTCTTCAGGAAGTTTGTGGAAAATGCGTAATATGAAAAAAAAAAAAAGCCCTGATGTGGCCTCCACAGCTTGTCAAAAATAAATTCAGCTTTTCACTTCATTTTCCTGTGAATGTTGTCAAAATACCCGATGTGTCACATGCCGTGCGTCGAGCTCGGAGAGTTTGTGACTGACTTGGCAGGTGCTTCCAGGAGCAGGCAGTGTCCACTTCTAGTAAGAGCAGGGTTATCTGCCTTTGGTGCTAACCCACTACCCTACCATTTTTTCCTTGCCCAGGAGCTGAGGGGATGTTTAATTTCTTGGGGATTCGATTTGCAGATCTCTGAAACGGGAGCGGTGTCCAATGGATTGCTTTCACAGCATGGTTTTAAGATACATCACAGCAGTCTAGAACCAGGAGCCTGAGAAGATTCGCTCATTTTATTACTTTTTAAACTCTTGTTGAATTTAAGAATGCTGTTTTGGATGACCTGAACAATGGTGCTAAGGTTTTGGGGTAAACCATAAACCCTGCTGGGTAGCTGGTAAACGCATCCACCTAGGAGGATGTCCTGTTCACGTAATTGACCTGACGGTTGGAGCTTCCTAGATCTTCCCCAGAGTTGAGCAATCTGGCAGTGGCAGCCAGTGCCGCCTGTTTTCCGGGCTGTGGATATCCTCAATGCTTTGAATGACCTCTGAGAGATGAGATTTCACAGGGCTCTGTGCAGCATCCCCTTTTCTCTGTAGGGGTGCTCTGTACTCAGGGTGAGGACTTTCGTTAATGTGGAATATGAGGCTTCACAGGCAACGGAGTCATGGTGTCACAGCGAGCATGTGCAGGCTGGGTCATGGCCGTGTCTGCCTCTTGAAACAGTAATCCACGATCACAGACTTGTGGTCAAGAGATCTAATAGCTGAAATAAGCACTACTGGCCTTCTGTAGAAAGGGGTTGCTCTTCAAATGTTGATCTGCATGGAGGTCAACTGGGACTCATGTTACAATGTCATGGCTGCTGTGGGCACACACAGGACTATGAGTGGGAAGGGCTCTGTCTCCCAGAGTGCCAACGCTAAGAAATCTCACTGACCAAGGACTTCAGTTCTGCGATCTGATGTGGCAGGAATGAAGGCAGGCAAGTTCCTGCAAGCCACCCCACTCCAGCTCCCATGTTCTCATAGGCCTTGCTGACCATCCTGGGTGGTCTATGAAAGTGGCGTCCAATCTTCCTCCCTTTTCTGTGTCTCTCAGGATTAGCCTTTCCCTATGGACTGGCAACTCGCCAAAGTTTTTAGGCCCCTTTTCTATTTTCTCTCAGGCTGCCTTTCCTAATGC